ATAGTCTTTCTAGTAAAAGTTATTTGTTAAGCAAAAGCCAATAAAATTTTACAGTCACAGTTCAAATGGGCCAATTTTGCTGCCCAGATGTTCTCTTACAACTAAATCTTTTCACAGATGGTTCCAAGGTCAGGGAAGTCTTATCTAGGTCTAGGCTTTGGGCCAAGTCTCTTATTAGGAAATAACAAATTGCAATACCAAGCTTCACCACAAGATGTCACTGATGCAATTTAAAGTTTTTTAAGTCCCAAATTTTTCTAATTCTTTTTCCAATTTTATTTCTTTTTTATAAATAAAAACAAAAGTCTCCAATAGAAATAGGAAACTTTTAGTCCATGTCAGAATCCAATTATATTTCATCTCTAGTTATCAACTATGGAAAACCCCATTTCTGCCCTCTCTGGATTCTATCATATGATGAAGGGGAAGGGGGGGATGAACAAAGGGGTTTTATGGCCCTTACTTTCTTCAGTACAACTTCAAAAGGGACTGAATGTGGATACCACCAAAAGGACTAACCATAACAATGGGGCCATCAGCTTTCATCTGCTCCTCTCTGACGTCTCCTGCCGGCAGTGAGGAAAAAGGGGCTGGAAATGTAATGCCTGGGATTGTTGCTGGAAAGATGGTGGGGTGGGGTTGTTGGGAACCCCTTAAAACCTTGAACCATAGGGCTTGGCCCCCAAGTCCTATCTAGAATGCCTGCAACCATTTTCTCTTAATAAAGATGCCTGTTGGAAGAAATATTCCAAGAGTTCTGTCTTCTTAAGATGCAAACTGGGATGGGTCCTTACATTAGACAGGACTTGCAGAATTAGTCCACCTGGAAGGGAGAATCTTGCCGGGGGACTTTGCAAAAATTACCATGTCAGACGACAGAGCAAGGAAGGGAGAAAACTCCCTGGAAAGGGAGCCGCTGCCCTGACAGATACCCTCCCAGATATCGGGATCTGAGAGGTCTGATTCCTCAGGAGAAGAGGTGGTGGAGACACGGGACCACAAAGCTCGGTGGTCAATGGGCGTTGGAAAGAAAGGCAAGTGGGAAAAGAAATCAAGAAAGGTGACTCTGAGATGGGGAGCCAACCAACCAGAATGGAAGCAGGAGATGGAGAAATCCCTGCATGCAAGTGAAGAGGAAGGGAACTGGGCACCATACTCGAACTGGATCCTAGAGAAAGTTATCAACCTGATGAAGAGAACTCTCAGCTCCCTAGGAGAGGAGAATTCTGAGCCCTATGGCCGCCCCAGCTTCTGGAGCCACAAAGGGAGAGACACTGAGGGGGAAGTGAAACCTGTAGCCTTGGGGACATCTGCTGATCCAGTAGCCCCCACTCCCCGCCGACCCACAGATGGCGATCTGGATGGAAGACACTACCACCGACAATGAAGGCACTGATCCATTCAAAGACTCCCGCCACTGGACTTGAGATTCAAGGGGGAGCCAACACGGTTGGGATTTTTCCTAACCCAAGTCCTCAGCTACATGGAGAAATACAGGCGGCACATCCCCAGTGACAAAGCCTGTATCCAGATCGTGCAATCTATCCTGGACGGGCTGACTGCAGATTGGGTGGTGAACTTGCACGACTCCAATGCCCCAGAACTCAACAACTTCAACCGTTTCATGTCCTCTCTGAGAAGGCGATTTGAGGACCCCCCGGCTGATCACAAAACTCGCGAAAAGATAAAAACGAGGAGGCTATCAACTGCATACAGAGAGAATCAATATAAAATGATTTACAGATGGCATTTAACATCGGAGAGATTGGCCAAAATGTATAAAAACATAGACCTGAAGTGTTGGAAATGTAAAATCAGAGAAGGAACATTTTATCATATGTGGTGGCTGTGCCCCAAAGCAAAAAATTATTGGGAACGAATAAGAGATTGGATACAGGAGATAACTGAGATACAAATGGGCTTTAAATCAGAATTATTTCTTTTGGGCATAATAAATTTAAAGATGGAAAAACAACTCCAACACATCATTATACACACATATTGACTGCAGCTCGTATACAATATGCTCAATGTTGGAAGAGTGAAAATATACCCACAAATGATATGATTATGTATAAAATCTTGGAATGCACAGAAATGAACAAATTTACGTTAGAATTAAAAGACAAGGATGTGACAGAATTTTATGAAATTTGGAATAAATATTATAATTGGCTAGAACAGAGAAAGAAAAAGCACATAACTATTGATGTACATAAAATGTAAATAAGATGTAAAGAATGCTTAAAATGTATAGTACTGTTCTGTTAAAAAAAGATTTATGTTTATGTATTTTAAGTTTGTTTTGGTGTATGGTGTATGGTGAAAAATAATAAAAATTAAAAAAAAATAATGAGGCAAGGCAAACGCCCAATAGCCGAATATACGCAAGAATTCCAGGCCATTGCCAGCAAACTGAACTGGCCAGAAGACATCCTCCTTAGCCATTTCAAAGATGGACTAAATTATGACCTATATGATGCTTGCCTGCCCCAAGGGGACCCACACCAACTTGAGGAATGGTACGTCTTGGCAGAGGAAGCAGAAATCGACATACTGAAGAGGCACCGCCAAGGAAAACAATGGAGCCGCTCACTGCCTGGGTTGACATGTGAACCAGTGAAACCATCAGCGATGGCCAAGAAGCAAATGGGGTGTTTCAAGTGCGGGAGAGAAGGGCATTGGGCTGTAGAATGCCTCTCAAAAGCCCCCCAGCACAATCCAGCCAGATCACTGGCCAGCAAATCCGGAAAGTCTCCAGCTAAGCCAAAAGAACCTGCCATGAGAATGATGGAGGCTGTGGAATCCCCCACCTCTGCTCATCAGGGGGAAAGAACTCCAGCCTACACCACAGGGCCAGTGGATTCCTCAAATGACAGCTCGGAAGGCGAACCCCTGGTAAGTGGACGCACTGCACCCATCCTCAAGACAGTGACTATATTAATTCCCCCCGTGTCTGAAGCCGTGAAGGTGAAAGCCTTAATAGACTCTGCCTGCACCCGCTGCCTCATTAGCCCGACGCTAGTAGGGAATCTGGGCATTCCGTCAAGGAGACTGGAACAACCAATCTCATTTGGCCAGTTAGATGGGTCCAGAGCAGGGGGGTGTGCCAGCTACCCTAGACACTTTAAAATACACCTCTCCCAGGGCAAACATGAGGAAGACATAACGTTTGTAGTGACCCCAGGCATGGAACGCCCAATGATCCTAGGGATGGAATGGTTAAAAAAATGGAAACCCTGGGTGAGTTGGAGGACGGCAGAAATCAAATTCCCGAAGGAGGACCCTATGGACTTAAAATTCCAAGGGGGGCTACCAGAATCAAGAACAGAAAAACCATCCATGGGAGAGGAAAAGGGACTAACAGAAATACCAGAGGAATACAGAGACCTTGCTGAAGTTTTCAGTGAGGAGAGGGCGGATGAGCCCCCCACCCCACGGACCCACAGACTTTGCCATTGAATTCAAGCCTGGGGCAAAACTCCCGAAGCCCAGATTATACTCCATGAGCTCAAAGGAGAAGGAGGAAATGGAAAGATTCATAAAGAAAAACCTAGAAAGGGGTTTCATTGAAGTAGCCAAGCCTAAAGTGGCTGCCCCGGTCCTCTTTAGAGAGAAGAAGGACAGCTCTTTATGCTTATGCATGGATTATAGGGCCCTGAATACAATCAGTGAAAGCAACCTATACCCTCTGTCTCTCATGAAAGACATGTTGTCATAACTCTCAAAAGGGAATTTTTTTTTCTAAACTAGACCTAAGGGAAGCTTACTATCACGCGAGAATTAAGGAAGGGGATGAATGGAAGACCGCATTTAACTGTCCTATGGGGTGCTACCAATTCAAAGTCTTGCCATTTGGATTACAAGGGGGCCCTTCTCTCCTCACAGGGGGAAGATACTTCAAATAGCCTTTACAGGAAAAGAAGGTTCTTGGGGTAAAGAGAAAATCAGATCTTACCCAGTTTCATCCGTGTTGCTTTCAGAGTGCTTGACAGTAGATTTGACTTCGGCTGTGTGCAGCCTAATGATGAGCCATATTGCTATGGCCTGTCTTTTCTCCACCAGTTTGGAGGACTGCCTCGAATCGAGCGGGAGGGCTGCTGCCCTCCCACGATCAAGCAGGGGGTCCCCTCCTTGCTCGTTGCCCCTACAGGGCAACTTTTGACCATTTCCAGGGTCCCCCAGCGAAGGAAAATCGGACATGGAAAACAGAATCACCTTCCAAGCAGCCGCAGCAGCAAACCGGAAGTGAAACGTCTTGTTCAAACCTTGAAATGTTCTTTTTTTTTTTTTTTTTGCTTTCTCAATTTTAGATATATTCCAAAATATTTTTCCTTAGTCATGATAATTTGGAATGAAATGGCAATCAGCAAAGAATACAATGAGTTGGGCAGCATGCAGGTTTAATTGTTTATTTTAACTTTTATTTATTTTTAGTATTATTATTATTATTGGTGGCACTGTCAGCCAGATGTTTCGACTGGATTGCCAAATCCAGTGCAAACATCTGGCTAACTGTGTGATCAACCATAATAATAAATTAAACTTGTATGCTGTCCAGTGTTATTTACTATTTATTGTTGTTTATTTATTATATTATCTCTCTCTTCCATATACTGAAAAACTGTTATTTATTAACTATTATTACATCTTTCCTCTTCCCCCTGCTGAAAAACTCTGAGCCTTCTACTCAAAAGAACACTGAGTTAAATTGACTTTCAGGAATTGTTTTGGTTGTGGTGGGATATAAATGCAATAAGTGAATAAAATAAGAAATAGAATCAATATTAATCATGATTTCATGATCAAATGGAAGCCTTTTGTTTATGGGAGATAGACATTGAATCAAAATCATTGGCATAATTATCTATTTGTGGTGTGCACGCTGTTTTCTCATAGTATTTTATAAGATCTTAGGCAGATCTTGCACAACAGAGAATGTTCGCAACTTTTCAGTTATATCAGAAACATTTTCTTTAAATTGTGTCTTAATTTTACAGCTCTTTCAAACATTTGATTGGAGGCCTGGATGATGTTTCCAATAAAGCATATGAGGATGCTGAAGCAAAAGCAAAGTAAGTCTCAGTTAAGCTGATTTTCTAATGTTCGTTTTATTATTCTTTTTTAGTATGCTGCTCTTTAAGAAGGAGAGAGAACTAATTAAGGCATTTTTCTCTAAATACTCCTTCTTTCTTATCAAAAGAAGAAACTATAAAAAGATCAAATGAGAGAGAATTGCTCCTAATAATTAATTACTTTTTATTATATCATTTTACAAAGACGCAAAGCAAATAGCAAAGTATTCTTAAAGACAATGGATAAATTCATGCAAATAAAAATTCCCCAGCCATATTATCCAATTCAAGAAGTAACTTGGTTAGTTTAGATACTATAATTCTTTAATTGCATTTGGTGCAATAGTTTTTCTATTTCTGTAACCCTCCTTATAAAGGGAGAAAGCAGTCCTGATGTGAATGTCAGATAGTTTTAGCAGATCAGCTTAATGAAAATCATGGAGAGCAGACAAGCCTCTTGTTAATCCCAAAGCAGTTATTCCAGAATCTTTTAGATTTTGGTGGCCCTATTGAAACAGTAGCTGCAAAGTTTAAAGTTGTGCTCCATAAACCATTGCATGCAGAAAGAACGGTATGACTATTTTACCACTTCCATCTGATTCACTTCCTCTTTTCCCATTACATTATTTTATTCATAACATAACAGCAGGATTGGAAGGGACCTTGGAGATCTTCTAGTCCAACCCCTGCTCAGGCAGGAAATCCTGTACCATTTCAGACAAATAATTGTCCAATCTCTTCTTAAAAACTTCCAGAGCATTCACAACTTCTGGAGGCAAGTTGTTCCACTGATTAATTGTTCTATCCATCAGGAAATTCCTCCTTAGTTCTAGGTTGCTTCTCTCCTTGATTAGGTTCCATCCATTGCTTCTTGTCCTGTCTTCAAGTGCTTTGGAGAATAGCTTTACTCCCTCTTCTTTATGGCAACCCCTTTTGTATTTAGTTAATAAATATTTCCAATCCACCATGATTCTCAGGACAGGATGCAAATATTAAAATTACAATACGTCATGGAGGAGTTGGAATGGGGACCGTCTGACAGGGATGGCACATCTCCCTTGGCCTATTTGGAGAAGACAGGGGCTGAGGATGATGCTGTCCCACGCCCCTCAGGCATTGGAAGAGATGGTTGACCAGATGGAGAGGTGCCTATCTTCACAGACAGAGGAGAGGAACAGGCAATGGTGCTGATAAGCAGCACATCTCCTCTGATGAAGAACGGCTGCCTCCTCCACTTGATCTAAGGGCTAGGAGAGCGGAGCATAGGCAAGCTCAGAGAAGGGCTGCAAGGCTACTCCAGAGAGGGCTGCACCAACCCTCCTCCCAAGGAACACCTGGAATAGAGTGACTTAAGGAGAAGCTGTGAGGAGTTAGTCTTTGCCAAGAACAAATGTTTGTTTTGGATTACACTCCCTCGGCTTTGACTCATGCCTTTTTGTTTTGCTTTAAGGACTGCTTTTTGCCTTGCTTTGAGGACTACCGTTTGTCCTACCCTAGTCCTATGGATTGTACCTTCAGAACTGCCTTTGCATTGTATCTTGTCTTTGCTTTGAAGACTGCCATTTGTTTTATGCCTGGACTTTGTTTTGAGAACTTTCCTGGTAATATATGGGCTTTGTTTGGGGGACTGAGGTTGGCTGCCTTCAGGATAGTAGCAGCAGCTGCCCCAGTCAGAGCCACTGAGTGGAGGGGGGCCAGGCTGGGCAAGGGCCCCCTTCTGGCCATCTCTACTGGAGCTGATGGGGCTACGCTACAGAAGGGAGAATTTCTCAAGGTTTAACTTTATTTTATAGAATATAATTTGCAGGCTCTAAGTGCTAAATATATGAAGAAAAATGCATAGTGTTTTATCCTCAGAACACTATGTCAGGAAAATTATTTAATAATATGAAATAAAACACTGTTGGAAACACTGCTCCTTAGACTTGGGCATACATTTTAATCTGCATTTGACAAATAGAAATCAGAGACTGCTATAATTGCTATTTATATATTCTTACACCTAAGTAAGCTTAATAAAAAGTTTTACAACTGTGCATCATAGTTTAATCTTCTCTGGAAACCCAGAATGTATTTTCTATCAATTTTTGAACTAAATGAGCAAAAGCAGATCCTTCAAAGGCAGAAACGGGAAATTTCCAAAATAATATAAAGTATAAATGGTGAGTTATTACATCTATAAAGCTTTGATTGTTCTGTAATATTATGGTAGAAGAAGAGATCATTCTACATTCTTTAAAGTCTTTATTTTATGAATCTAGTTGTATGATCTGAGCAGCAGAATGGAGAATCACACATAAAAATTTGATGTGAAATAAATAAATATTCATACTCAATTCTATAAATAAGCATATGTTCACATCTATACATTATGTGTGTATTCAGATATATAATATCTAAAAATTCCTACCTAGAACAAGCTAAAGTTTTATCCATGAATGAGTAAGGAAAAACAACAACAGAATAACAACAGAAAGAAAAAAGAAAGAAAGACTCAGTCTCACTTTATCACTTTTGTACTCTGGTTGAATTATTTTTTTTTTAGAAATGAGGCTCATAAACAAAACAGACTCGTTTATTTATTTTCAAAATACATGATGCAATGAATAAAAGAAAACTGATCATATAACCATAAGCCTTTCCAAAATATAAATACAATAGTCCTCGATTTACAACTGATAGCTTAACAACTGCTCAAAGTTATCACGGACACTGGAAAAGTTATTTATGACCTGGATTCAAAGTTCTGACATCTACTCCCCCCCCCATCCCCCACAGCCACATGAATGCATTTTAGGCCCTAGAAAACTGGCCCAATTTTCTGACTGTTTGCAATGTTCCACAGCCTCACAACCACAATTTACCTTTTTGCTGAAAACCAGCATTTACTTCTGGTTTCTGCCAAAAAAAAATCCCATAGTGAACAATGGGTTCACTTAACTGCCCCAGTGGTCACTTAATAAATGCCGCAAAAAAGGTCATAAAATCAGGTGATCTGCTCTACAGCCATCATGACTTATGACTGGAATTGTGGACTCAGTTACGTTTGTAAGTTGTGGATTACCTGTACAGAGTATAAAATGGTGACCAATAGATAACAGAACCACCCAAAGGTGCAACTCTTCACTCCGCTGGCCTTGTGCCTCGGGGAAGAGTCAGCTCTTAACTATTTTCCTAAATGTTTGTAGAATTGGGGCCTGTGGCATGTCAGGGGGAGATTGTTCCAGAGATCAGTCACCAAAATACTTGTAAGATAATGTGTAGCTTTGGGTTACATTTTTCTACAGTATCTTACCATCTGATACAAATAAACCAGTTATCGCTCTGAAGTTACTTATGTTTGGTGCTCTCAGAAGTTAAGAATTTACAATAAGAATTAAAAAAAATTAATGAAATGGTACTTAAATAGAAGCCATATTAAAATCACCTTCATAAAAATGCACATGAATATAAATCAGTTGCCAAGCATCCGAATTTTGATGCTGCAATGATTGTAAGTGTGAAAATGGTCATAAGTCACTTTTTTCTGCCTTTATGACTTCAAACAGTCACTAAATGAACTATTGTAAGTCAAGGACTACCTTGACTACTACATATAGATAAGTATAGATACATATGTAATTGCTGCAGGGTGTACATATCAGCAGTCTACATTCATTCTTTTTCACTATAAAGAAAGAAATTTCTTTTTAAAATATTATTCTGCTTATAAAAACATGAATCTCCATAGTGCACATGAAATTCAACATATGCATTAGCTCAGAATCAACACTTTTGTCTCAACCTGTTCTGTTCAGTATGAAGAAAAGTGTAGATACCATCAACTGAATTGCCAAATATAAAATCATAAAAAGCTCTTCATTTCTCGAAACTGTAGAGTTCCAGCAATAGGTTGCCTTGTCTTATTTATTTATTTATTTATAGAATTTATATGCCGCCCAATCCCTAGGACTCAGGGCAACATACAAAATTAAAACAATATAACAATAAAACAATAAATAAGTACTTTCATACAGCATGTCCAATCGTATCTCGGCCCCCCTGGGAACATCAACCCCAGGCCTGCCAGAACAGGAAAGTTTTAATGGCTTTCTTAAAGGCTGGCAAGGTGGGAGTAGTTCGAATCTCGGGGGGAAGTTGATTCCACCAGGTCGGTGCCACCACAGAAAAGGCCCTTCCCCAAGGGCCCGCCGGCCGACATTGTCTGGCCGACGGGACCTGAAGGAGACCCAATCTGTGGGACCTCACCGGTCTCTGGGAACTATGCAGCAGTATGCGGTCCTGTAAGTAACCTGGTCCTAAGCCATGAAGGGCTTTAAAGGTGATAACCAACACCTTGAATTGCGTCCGGAGGCCCACAGGAAGCCAGTGAAGCTCACGGAGGATAGGTGACACATGGGTGTACCTTGGTGCACCCACAATCACTCTCACGGCTGCATTCTGAAACACCTTAGCCTCCAAACGCTCTTCAAGGGTAGCCCCATGTAGAGCGCATTACAGTAATCCAGTCTTGAGGTGACAAGGGCATGAGTGACCGTGAGTAGAGCCTCCCAGTCCAAATAAGGCCGCAACTGGTGCACCTGGTGAACCTGGGCAAAGGTCCCCCTGGCCACAGCCGATAGATGTTGTTCCAAATTTAGCTGTGAGTCCAGGAGGACACCCAAGTTGCGTGCCTGCACTGAGGGAGGTAAATTTACCCCCCCCAGGGCTAATGATGGACCAACAGGATGACCCTTGGGGGGCAAGACCCAGAGCCACTCGGTCTTGTCAGGGTTGAGTCTAAGCCTGCTCGCCCCCATCCAGACCCTCACATCTTCCAGGCACCGGCACATCACGTCGACTGCTTCATTGAAAGGACATGGGGTGGAGATATACAATTGGGTATCATCCGCATACTGATGATACCTCACCCCGTGTCGCCGAATGATCTCACCCAGCGGTTTCATGTAGATGTTAAAAAGGAGGGGGGACAGGACCGAGCCCTGAGGCACCCCATAATC